AAAAAAATCAAAGTTGGAGCATATAATAAATAGGATATATAGCCATTAGCATATTGAGATATAGTACACATAAAGAAAGAAGATATTTAGCAAAAAAAAAAAAAATCATTACAAAAGTTAGAAATCACTCCATTTGCAATGGAAAAAAAGAAGCAGCTTAAATTGAAAAAAAAGCCTAATAGTTTGCACTATCATCATTATTACTAGCATCGTTAATGGAATCATCATTATATCTAATTTCCCCATCATCTTCACTGTTCCGTTTTTGGTCCTCTAATTTCAGGCTACCGTTTAGTTTTCTAGGTATTTTATTGTTTTGTTTGGGCCCAAAATGCTTTTTTAAATGGGCCCTTTTTCTTTTTTAATAAGGGACATTTCTGATTTCTTTTCATACAATTGAAAAATCAACTTTTAAATGAGGTGCACGCCTCATACTCCATGGGCGCGCGCCTCAGATTTAGAGGCATGAGCCTCATATTTTTAGCGTAAAAAACACCACCTCGAGGTATACTACATGCGCCTCACAGTAAGGCACGCCTCAAGACGCGCTTCACTACTGTCTTTTTAAACCATGATTATTATTATTATTATTATTATTATTATTATTATTATTATTATTTGGGCGTAAACATACTAATGTTCAATATAAGAAACTCCATGTAAGTGGAACAGTACATACATTTACTTTCATGCAAAAGTTACACTTTGGCCAAGATGGAGACTTAAAATTAGACGGTTTACTATAGATGCACAAAAATATGGTTTAATACTTTTAAATTTTCTTTTTTTTCTTAGGGTTATCTAATTAACTATTATTAAATTTCCAACTGAGGGAAGTTATGAATATTATCACGAATGTCTAGACACATGGTACTAATGATTCTAATAATAAATAAGTGACAATTACATCTCATGATGTAAAAAATGTGAGCCTCCCAATGAAGCCAATGGCTGAAAATGCTGGAGATAAAAAAACAAGTAGGTCATTTGTCTGTTTGGCTAGTCAAGTTATGGGATTTGATGATCGAAATAGCTTAAGGTGGGCCCATAAAGTGGAAAGAGAATCTTCCTACTGAGTATCTACAACATAATCAAGGTAGCGGCTGTTGCTGAATATAACTGCTGGTATCTATGGGAATTGTGGTATGAAGGATGTTAGTTTATCATGGTCAAGTTGGTTAGGAAGAATTTAGTGCTCTTACATACGTTATACATATTAATATCCTCATGCCTGAGCCTTTGGTTTGACGGAGGCTTCAAAATCAACAGTTTAAAGGAAATTCCTTGTGAACTGAAGTCATGGATAGAGTTTCAAGTTCTCAAGATATTATACAGTCAAGATAAGATAACATGCAAACATGCATATGCATATATCTGTATGCACACATGCGCACATCCATATGCATCGATACATACATCTATAGCTCGACTCTTTTAATACATGGTTGTTGTGGATTATGCATATAATTAAGACAAGGGTGTACCTAAACACTCAAGTAAATTGTACAAAATACCCATTTTGTCATCAATGGGGTGTAGGATCATTCCATTAGTCATTTTCTTGTAGCATTGCCTCACTGGAAATGCACATCTGGCACATTTAGAGAGGTTTTCGTGGCTGCGTCTTTTTTGAATCATTAGTGCAACATAGGAGATTTTACTACACTGATAGTGTGCTTGGTAGCTTCTAAACTAGTTCTTCAAGTATATTAGGTCAATAAGGTCCTTTGTCATACAGTGTACTCAGTGGTTAATTTAGAAAGCTTCTATAGTGACCACTGAGCTTCTCTTGTTCCTTCCATCTGGGCAATAATTCTTTTCCATTTTTTTTCTAAATAATTGACCAATAGCAATGTAGGATATTGTTTGTACTCTGAAATACTGAATGTGTTTAATATACCTCAGTTGGTTTATCTAATTGAGGGAGTGAAGAAAATTATGAAAATAGAAGACTGAGGCACTTATCTGAATCTACAAAAAGGAAAAGATATGTCATAAGAGGATAGAGTTTTGTGTACTCTAGGCTAATATAACCTCTGTAACCATTACTATGTTGCTATTTACCGAAATTCAACACTAAGTAATTTAACGAATTTATCTGGCTAATATAACCTCTGTAACCATTAAGCTGCTGCTATAGGGGTTCGCACACAGAAATTCAACTTTGTGTGAGCATTCCATAGAGATTCTATTCAGTGCCCTAATAAATTCGAATTAATAAAATTGGCTAGTTGCGTTTCTAAATTCTCTAAAACCTGCAAAGAAGAGTTTTGAATTTATTTTATGGACCAGCAGGGTAAAATTTTTCACTGTTTAGCATGAGATTTTCAAATTTTGTTTTTGCTAGTTTTGCTATAGGACATGAAAATTGGTGCTCATTCTTTTGGAGTCAAAGATATATTTTAGCTTTCTATATGATTGCCAAGGACCAATGTGCTAGAGAACAAAATGAAATGTAATTATGATAACAAAATAGGAAAGTATCTATGGCATTTTCTTCTCTTGTGGATCATAGTGTATATTGACAACATGGAAAAAGCCAAAAGCTCTACCCTCATTCTCTATTTTTCCAAGGAATGGAAGGGCAGAGCATTGGGTTTCCCTTCGATTTTCTAAATCAGTAACAATTAAAATATAAGTCTCTTAAATTTTATGGTCAACTCCAATGTACTTGAGTTTTGTAACATCTTATTCGAGCACAAAGTCTCATTTTCTTAGCTTCTTGTATCTCTTACTACTGATTGAATAGCAGTAGAATGTATGAAATAACCTTTTTTAGCTTCAAGATGTGGGTATTATGCAATAAACTGCCCCTTTTTTGACCTTCATGTATGCAGGGGGCTCTTAAAGTTTCCATGTTGAGTCCTGGAATTGTATATGAGCCATATGCACCTCGTGAACCAATGCCCTTCTGGAAAAGGTTTGTAAAATTTACGAGGGAGTTTTTGCTGTTAAATCTTGTTTATGTTCAGCAACATATTTTCTAGATTGAAATTGAACTTCATAAACAAATTTAGGAATTTTGGTTAGCTAGTGAAAAATAATCTAAGAACTTTAGAGGAACTATTCTACGCTTTGATTTATTTGGTGCTTATAAGCAAGAGAGAATAAGTATCCCCTCAAATATTTTCCCATACATGCTCAGTCAACTGTACTTTTGGCAGTTTTTCTTGAAATAATTCTTCATAAAACAAATGAGATTTTAATAAAGTTTAATGAAATGCGTGGTTGAAAAGTTGCGAGTCCTATGAAATGTGTAATTAAAATTAATTGTTGACTTTAACTTAGATTTTTATCAAGATTTTAATCCACAGTCCAACCAAACAGGGCTGTATTAAAGATTGGATAATGGATTTTGAATGTTCACATTCATTCAATTTAAATGTCATTTGCTCTTGAGTATTTTTACATTGGCACACATGTTGAAGTTGCCTTTGATAGATACATAGCATTACACCTGTGGTTTCTCCTCTTTTGTGACCTCAAATTCTTTTTTCCTCTTTGGATGCAGATGGTTCACCAGAAATGGTTGGAAAAGAACTAAAGAGGATATCATTCTGGAGGTATACTACACATGCAACAAATTTTGTTTGATTCATGTTCAAATTATTATCCACGTGATAGGAAATTTTATTTAGGAGAAGATGAAATGATATATTTTTCATTCTGTGGAACCTGAAAATTGAACCTAAGAGCAACTGAGACTGAAATGGAACACATACTAAGAGATTCAATTCCTGGTTTACCTCGGTGGGAAATCTTAAGGACATTTGAGATTTTTAGCAGAAGGTACTGAGGTTCCTTGTTTACTTTGTTGGTGATCCTATGAGTTTGCTTTTGCAGCTGAAAAGTGCTTACGCAATTTCGAAATTAAGGAAGTATGGGTATTCAAAAAAGAAGTTCTACAATGAAGCTATTGATTTATACAAAGAGGTTTGCTTTCGTCATCTTGAATACAAGTAGATAACACAATCTCACATTCATATTTTAAAATTTCGCTACCTCCTCTTTTTGTTCTTTAATCTTTCATTTTTTCTCAGATAAACACCCAAATGGCCAATGGAGACAAAGGACTATTGAGGAAAACAGTAACGGAGAACATGTACTCTGTAGGTTCTTTGATCTGTGCCATATATGCTATAAATGCTGCCTCATTGGATATATTGTGTCAGTTCGTTTCTTGTCATTTTCTATCAACTTACTGATATAAACCTGATTCAACACTACTTTCTGGCACTCGATTCTTTCAAGATAGGCCCTCAAGAATGAGATCAAGCAAAGAGGAACAGTTTGGAGCCATGTTAACTGGGAACTAGTGGAACCTGTTCTTAAAATACGAACTTTGCGAGCTCGACTGGTAAGTATCAGTAAGAGATGAAATAAGATAAATACTTTGTCATCATCTGTAGGGCAGTCTATCTCTTTCTTTACCCTGTGCTATAAAGTAAAGACAGGCTCAGGTGGGTTGCTAATTCTAATGAAGTTTGGCGGATTCAATAAACTCCTTCACTGTTTACATCTTTCATTTCTCTTGTTAATAAATTACTGCTTCATTTCCTTTTATGCAGTTCCTTGTATAAGTTCGCAGCTCCTTTGTTGTTTTTATACCATTTCTCTAAGTTTAGCAAAGTCTGGTATCATATTTGTGCATGTATCAAGCAACTTAAAAGCAGGCCAGATAAAGTATTTTCCAATGTTTTGAAACCTCAACTGGGCATCTACCTGGAAAAGAATTAGGGGTCAAGGGTTGAAAGGTTTAATCGGGTTCAAACTGGTTGTATAATGTATAGAGTAATTAAATATATCTATGTTAAAACATTACAAATAATGTTAAAGTCCAATATGCAGTCCAACTATTCTAACTTAATAGTGCAATTAGCAAACATATTATAAAGATAATTAAGTAACTTAATCTTAATTTTACTACTCAAAAGGAAAAAGAAAGTAGCATTGCCTCATTTTTAAAACAGAAGTAAATCTTCATTTGTAATGGACCACAGCCTCGTTTTTTAAATGAGAAGTATTCTGCTCCTTCATTTACTCATTTGAAGAATTAGGGTAAATAGAGACTGTGCTGCCGATAGTTGAGGGCAAAAAAAATTTCAGCAAGAGGAAGGGAAAAATTAGAAAGAGGAAAAGAAAACAGAGAAATTAAGCAGTTGGCACCTTTCTGTTACAGCAGAAGGTATGGTAAATTTCTGGAAAAACTCAGATAGCTTGAAGAATGGTCCTGCCTTTTCTTCGTTTTTTCCGAACTATAGACCCTGTCAACTCGGGAAAACCATGTCCGGGTCGACTGGTTCAAGGTTTAACCGACCTTTTAGAGGGTTCGGCACCAGTTTTCTAAGAAGAGGTTTTCAATAGGTAATCAGACCAGGTTCCGGCCTGGTTCCCTATTTTTCTGGTTGAGAATGCCTGTGCGGTTTCCATAACATTGGTATTTTCCCCTTTCTCCACTTATTGCATTCTTTCGGCCAATGCATTTACCAGTGATGGACTGATCAGAGGCCAGCATTCTGATTTGACCACTCATTTAAATTGCTAGTCTGTTGAGATATCCATCCTTCAAGGCCACAAATTCTTTTCCTTCCAGCTCTGTCTGGCAGATTGGTATTTCTCTTCAACAACATGAATTAATTAATGACCATGGCTAATCCTTGTATGAAGCCTAACTCATGATTAACTTGCCACCTTCTAATAACACCTTAACATAAATCTATTTTTTACAGATTGGTGTTGATCGGAATGACCTGAGTAAGGTGTTTATACAGCTTACACTAGAATTTCTGACTAAACAGGTACAGTTTCTAATATATGAATCCTGCGATTTGTTTGTAGCTCATTCAGATGGTCATTTACAAATGCTAGCAACAACTATTGTGTTGAGAGTAACCATTTTGTATAGTAGAATCCTCGAGTACATGTGTAAAACCATTGCAACAAGACACTGAGGCATGAAATGTATTTTGTGGGCGTCTGCAGTATCTAATGCAAAATTTTTTAAGATAAGAGGAGAAAGCATTTATTTTTTTTAGTTTTTTTGGATAGGACTTAGATGGTAAAGTAATATTATTTTGTTCTTTTCTCTTTTTAGATTACTTCATTTTGCATCCTTTTTTAAATGGTCTACGTTGTTAGAGGTTTTCTTCTCTCTTTAGTTTTTCTTGACTATTTTGATTCAGTTACATGGATGTTGGGTTTTTTTTGTCCTCTCTTTTGGGTTTGGTGGTGCTAGCCGCCCAACTGTTGGCCTTATTCGTCTAATTCACTTTTTAATTCTTCATCAATTATGTTTGAAGTATCTTATACATGCTCTTATCTTTTATGTCTTCGCAGAAGTTTGAGGCATATGATTCAAATGGAGGAGTTGTTGCAGGAGATAAATATAAAGAGGTAGGCGATGTAGTTGCAAACTCTATGGTTGCTCTTAGTTTTTGCTCCAGGTGGTTAAAACTGTGCTGTGTCTTGGAAAGGTGAGGTAGAGCCGTGATAGAAAAAGGGGGGATCCAGATAGGACGGTGGAGAGAGCATTTTCTTTTCGAACTTTTCCATCTACCAATATTTATCAATAATTTAATCTTTCAGGCCTTTTGTCCCTACCTTATAAATTTGTTGAGGACAGAAAATTGGTGAGAATGAGTAAAATAATCCATCCCTTTTGTTTCTCCACTCACATTCCTTACCCTAGGGGTCCTTAACGTCCAGTTTTACTTGGTCTCCTTCCATCTACCACCTGAACCAAGTATTAGATCGATCTTTCTAGATGATGGTTTTTTACACAATGCCAATTGATATCGAAAGAAATATTTCAATGCTTCTATAGTAATTTGGCATGCAGGTAGAAGAATAAACTAATCTTTCTAAAATAAGAAAAGCAATTATTCGGGTGTTTGTGTGGGTGAAAGCATCATAAAAATGGGGAAGTGATTGCTGTAGTCCTCACAACGTGAACCAATAAAAATAGTATGATGTGAAGATTGAATGCAAGTGGTTGGCTATATGCGCATCGAGTCGGATGCATATTCTTAATTTTTAGGGGCTACGAAGGTACTAAGTGGCCCAAGTTCTTGGTTGATGCTACCAGTTACATTTTTATTGAAGTCTCCTTAATAGCCTAGATATAGCTGAGAATTGAGACTGTAATTGCCACTACATATTCCTTTTTTTCCCCTTAGAATTACAGTTAATGTCTTGCATGTTTATCCAGGTTCTTGTACGCGATATTTGGGTTTTTGAGAAATCTCTCTTCCACCCCGGAGCGTACTGGCGCCTATGTGGACGGATCAAAGTTTAGGTTCTTTTATGTAGTATATGAGTTGAAGTTTTGTAGCTCAGTTCTGTCCCTTTCCACCAATTTTCGCTTCAATCCTGCAGTTTTCAATCACAGAAGGGACGTATCTGTGTTAAGGTTAAGAAAAGGGAAATAATGCTGCAATTTTTTTTCAAATTAATTATGCAATGTGCCAAGGAAAGGAGGCTATGCAGAATAGTTTCAATAAATATATTACCTGTATAGACTTGCAAGGTGAATTGTTTTGATAAGTTTATTGCAATTGCTTTGGTTTAACCTTCAAACTGAGACCAGGAGCATGTTATTCGACTCTTCATCGTGAAAGCATGTGACCTAAGTGGTATGCATGATTCGGTTCATATGGAACAAAAGATATAATTGTTCTGTGAAAATTCAATTTTGAACATCCGCTTTATTCTGTCTATCAGTGGAAGATAAATAGTGCTCCTAAAAAACAGTTGAAGTAAACGAGTGAATAGACGGCTACATCCTCATTGTGTGATACCCCGAGGTTTAAATAATCTTATATATCCATATGACTTTTTTGATTATTTCTCAATGTTCTATTTTTGGTGTTACTATTTTAGCATGTTATCAATAACAATGATTGATTTGATTTATTGGGACATGTCTAGGTAAGCAACAGATTAAAGTTGAGGAATTCGAGTAGGAAATGAAGACTATTTTTACTAACACTTTTATGTGCACTTATTGCTCAAGCAATTGTTTTTTAACCTTCTGGGGTTAATGACACAAATGAGAATATACAAGAGTATAGTGAAACTTATGTTTTATTTAGGGGTATTCAAAAGTTCCGAACCGGATCGAACCGAATCGAGCAGTTCTTCATAAATTAAATACCCGAGCAGGTACCCGAATCGAGAACCGATGGGTTTGGGTCGGGTCTCGGGTCTAAACCA